ATTTTTATTTTTTTTTGTTTTTTTTTTTTATTTTTTATTTTCATCATTGACTTTTCACAATTATGTTTCATTTTCAAACGAAAAGTGTATGAGAATTTTTAATTTGTGACGAAGAAAGAAGTAATTCCTAGGACCTATTCCAGGCAATTGATTACTTAATTTTTTTTTGAATGTTTTTTTTTTTTTTTTCTTCCTTATTTTTTGTCACTTTTTCGAAAAAATTCATTGGTAAGAACCCAAAATTTAAAATAGATGTGAGGAACAGGTGGGAAAAAAAGTAGTATAAAAGAATTAAATAAAAGTGAAATGATTTCAGCTTTAGTGGAATCCTCAATACTTCAAAAACCTAAAAATATGACCAAAAAATTAGGGTTAATGATTTTAAAGTAAGTGTCTATATTGTTTTTCATTGGCCCACTGCGTCATGACAGCGTGGCGGAGTGGTTAACGCGTGGCACTGCTAATGCTATGTCCTTTGGACGCGCAGGTTCGAATCCTGCCGCTGTCGATGAATTTTTTTGTTTTTATATTGCTAAATTTTTTTTAAGCATTTTTTTTATAATTTTTTTTTTTTTTGTAAATTTTTGAGTTTCGATCTGAAGAATTTTTTTTCAGTTTCAAATTGCAATAATTTTTTTTTTTTTTTTACTTACTTCACTTAGTTCAGTATTTTTTTACTAATTGATAAAACATTTTTCCTCATTGGAAAATGTATGGAGATGAAGTCCTTGTTTTGATTCGTGAAGCTCAACGTATAAAAGAAGGTTTATTTCCTGTTTATAACGAATCCTTGGTTCGAAATGTTATTAAAGAACTGCTTGTTTTAGTTCAAGAACAAAACCATTTATTACACACTTCTTCAGAAAAGAATCACCCAGATACTTTGGAATCCACACAATTTAAAGCTGCTTTCTTGATTCACCATGCTTGTATAGAAAGAAACAAACGTTGTCTTTTGGCCTACTTACTTCATCGCTGGCAAAAAATTCAATCCATGATTTGGGAATTAGGACACTTGCCTTCTGAACTCATGGTACGTCTATCTCCTTTAGAAGCAAAAACATGTCATGCGTATGCGGATCTACTATTGGAATACAAAAGTACTTATTCCTCCTTGGATTTAACCAGTGCAATGGTCCCACCCAAAGAACTCTTTATTTGTGTTCGAGTATTAAAAGAATGTGGAGATATTGTAACGGAAAACGGATCTACACTGGTACTCCAACCCAATGCACAACACTTTTTAAGACGTACGGATGTGGAGCGCCTAATCACACAGGGATACTTAGAGCATCTATCCAATTAAAATTTTGAATTTCAAAAAATAAACCCCTCTTTCTTTTCACCAAGATCTTTTCTTAAATGTTGATCAATAAATTTTCTTTGATATATTGAAATTGTCCTTACCATTGGTGTTCAAACATGTACTAATTGATATTCGAAAATCATGAGATCCAAAAAAGTAAGTAAGCCCTACAAATGTTAAGTTAAGTAAGTTTATTCTGAATTACTAAGTAAAATAGGATGGAATGACATTCATTAGAAGTGCTGGAGTATGAATAAGTTAACCCTACTTGCTATTTCTGCTTTTCAGTCTTCTGAACTTAACATTTGGATAGAAGCTAATCTAGTGAGTCTTTGTTAAATGAATTGATGTTTACTTCTTTCTTAACATTTGACTTATTTGCTTATTTAGCTTTAACATTGAATGCTGCTGGCCTTTTTTTTTTTCTTTTTTTTTTTTTTTTTTTTTTTCATTCAACAGAAATAGAACTTGATATCAAGAATCCATGAAGTTGAGATCCATATAATTCTGATTTACGTGGAAATTCGAATTTATTAAAAAAAAGAGGCAATGCTAGCATTTTTATATTTATTTTTTTCCTCTTTCTAATTAGTAGATATGAGTGAAGCCAACCTTGGGTCTGCTGCTAATTTTTTGTCTAATGCAAGGTAAAGTTCAGGTGCGGTTTCTTTGTGTTTGGCCAATCTTTTTTCTAAAACATGAATACGAAAGAGTGCATCATTACAAAACTGAACATATTCTTCAGTTTCTGCTTGACTCATGGTTTCCGAGTTTTTACTGTAATGCTGTTGTCGCTTTTGATACGACATGGTTTCCTCCTCGTATCTCTTTTGGATGATCGACGATTTTTCAATCAAGCGTTCTTTTAAGGCTTTTAAGCAATTCTCCTTCACTTGCATGGCCTCTTCTTTGGTTAATTTCAAGGTATTATCTTCTTGGATATAATGTAATAAAAAGGGAGAAAGGTAATCAATCGAGGCTTCTTTCGAGGCTTCTTCTGCTTGTTTCTGACTTTCCTTTTGCATTTCCGATGTGATATCCTTTAAATAAAAAAATAAAAATAAAAGAAAATAGTTGTCATTTAAAGTCGTAAGGCTTTTTTTTTAAAATTAGTTTTAAAGAGATTTTCTTAAAAAAAAAAAAAATTAAAAATTACATACAAATGTGTTTCGGATAGTATCAAATAAGGATACGCTTAATTGAATGTTTTTTTCTTCGCTATGCCGTGTCTGTATATAAGGGAGAATGGAAAGAAGCGAGTGGAGGATAGAAAATTTCTTCCGGTAAGCTTCAATGATAAACCATTGAACTTTTTTACATTTATAGTTTCTATTTGACAATTAAGTATATTTCTAGTTCAATCTGAAAATAAGTGTTAGATGATCCAAAGAAGAAAAATAAAAAAACAGTTGCATACAGTCAGAATTTCTTTAACTTCACGCTCACTTGCTTTTACTGCTGATAAACAAGTTTGTTCTGCTTTCAATAAATCGCAAATTCTTGCATACAAGTGCTGCTTTTTAGGGGGCTTTTTAGGAGGCTTGGTTTCAAAACTCGTGGTCATTTCTAATAAAGAAGACTTTTGGTCAGAGGTAGGTTTACGGAACTCTCTCATCCCGGGAAATAAGGATCCGAAAGGGACGTGATAGACCACTTTAATTTTTTCTTCACGAATGTAAAATGAACGCTTGTAAATTTGATTACAAGAGACTTCCAAGACTTCGTCCCCGGGACCACCAAATTCTTCATGGGTCCTTCGAGCATAATGCTCGGACATCTTGACAATCCCTAATACTTGATCCTCAGAGCCTACCTCATGGGTGACGGAACGGTACACCAAACGATCGGGACGTCCTTCAAAATGTTCAATGATTTTATGTTCTTTTTCTTCCCTTAAATACAAGCCATCACTGCGTGCACCCTGATAAAAACGTAGTTCCGTTGTTTTTCCATGTTTCATCACATGCCTTTCCAATGCATGCGCACGTCCATGTTCAAAATATTCATTTTGCAATCCAAGACTTGGTTGTTTGACTCGTTTCCATAATCGATCTTTTCGATGCTTGTAACGCTCATGAATGGCCCCTTGAATATTTCTTAATTGATCGGCGAAAATAGTAATCCTTGTCACCAATCCATCATCACGAGTGTAGGGAGCAAACAGTTCTAATTTCACGTTTCTCCACGTTAACACTTTAGATCCCGAAGGACATTGAGAACTTAATTGTTCTTTGGTGATGGTTAAGGGCAATACCCAGGAAGGGCCTACTTCCACAATGTCTTTTTCGGATTCAGTAGCTGCTTTGTCACCGTCATCATCGTCTTCTTCTTCGACTACCATTTTGGGTGTGTATGTAGGATTGGATTTTTGTAGAAACAAAAACTCCCATTTTGAAGTATCATTTAAATCAAAAGAGATATTCTATAGGAAACAGGGAGAAAGGGGTGATAAAGATTTTTTTTTTTTTTTTTTTTTTTTTAAAAAAAAAAAAAAAAAAAAAAAAACCAAAAAAAAATAAAAATGCTCGCAAGCATGACATGATTTTAGTTTTTACAGATTTAAATCATGATGAAATTCAGTGAAGTTCATTCTTCTCCATTTTATCCAAGGTTAAAAATTTTTACGTAAAAACACCATTGGCTAGGTAAACCTAAAAATTGGAAATTGTGAATTTAACTACACTTTACCCCCGTTGGAATGAAAATTAGGATTTAGGGAAAACAAAACTATAAAAGGAACATTTCGAGTTTAGGACCTACGGTATTTTTGGATCTTTTTTTTTTTAAATTTTAAATTCGGTAAATGTACGACGAAGGGTATGTTACGTTTCAACATACGATCACATGTTGCAATTAAGGTTTCAACAAATGGGAGGTGACAAATTCGCATTCCATTCCTAATTCTCGACAATGCAAAAGTATATCTTGAGAGGTGGTCACAACAAACACTTCATGGTAGAGTTGGGATATATGTGGAAAAATATGAAATAGTTGCTCAACGGGTGGTAGGGAGGTGGATGCTTGTGAAGGAAGTAAATGAACATGAGGATGTTCACGTTTAACATAAGCTTCCAATTGGCGAATCACATCGCGAGTTGCCGCAGAAGACTTTTTCATTCGATCTAACTCTTCCAAAACTAAAAAGGTTTTATATTTTTTAAATATAAAACAGATGAAAAAAAAAGAAAGAAAGAAAAAAAGAAAATGAAAAAAAAAGGGAAGTTGATTTTTAGTGTGAAAAAATAACAACTCAAGATTATAGCTTCAAAATAAGAATGAAACAAAGAAAAACATATAAATCAATAAATAAAGATGAATGGATGCATCTTACCAAACAAAGGGACCAATAATAAATACGTTTTCGTTTCAATCCATTGTTTGATGATATGCCAATAAGAAACAAGGCAATCTGGAAAAGCCACTACAGCTTTTATTACAGGATTAGGAAGTAGCAGTCGAGTAGGAGTGGGGACACATAAAGGTACGTAAGGTTGAAGAGAATTAATTGTAGATTGAATTCTAAAAAAGTCTATAGATCCTTTTTGCAAAGTTAACGAGGAATAGTATGGTTGTAGGGACGATGAGCCTAGGTATTCGAAATCAATGGCGGTCCAACATCCTAGGGAGGGAGTAGCATAAGAAGGATGGAGAGTATCTACATAAGAAATTAAAGATTGAAAAGCCTATGTATACACATAAATACGTGTGACATGAAGAAAATAAATGTGGCTTCTAGACTAAGAAAAAAAAAAAAAAAAAAAAAAAACTGAATCGAGGCCAAAACCCCTACGAATGAAGAAATAGGAGCGCACGCTTGATTTCCACGATTTTGAAGAATCAAATAAAAAGACCGACTTATAAAGTCAAGATACTCTTGTTCTCTATGTATAGAGAGAGAGACAAAAAAAAAAAAAGACAAAAAACGACCATACTTCTGCCAAAGGTTCATGTTCTGGTAACAAATGACGAATTTCTCCACATTTTGATTTTAAGGCTATTTCTTTCACCTTTTCAGTTTGAGAGCAGATCCAAGCGGTTAACAACATTAAGGCATTTAGATCATTTAGACTGACATGGATAGCCAATGAAAAAGTCAAAAGAGAACGAACAGGTAATGAAAGTAAGTCGGATTCGGTAGGGTACATAAGTTCTGTCAGGGTAACCAAAAGAATAAATACAACTTGGACAGATGAAAGAGAGAC